AACCACATATGTCTTACATGAAGATTTGGGGTTGCGAAGTTTACGTCAAACGACAAATTTCAACCAAGCTTGAGCCCAAATCAGACAAATGCTTATTTGTGGGGTATCCTAAAGAAACAAGAGGATATTACTTCTACAATCCTTCTGAGGGCAAAGTGTTTGTCGCTCGAACTGGAGTCTTTCTGGAAAGGGATTTTATTTCCAAAGGAAACAGTGGGAGGAAAATAGAGCTTGAAGAAATTCAAGAATCACAAAACATTGAAACACCTATGGAGGAACTAGAGCGGGAAACACAAGTAGTTGTGGAAGAGCAACCTGCTCAAGTAGAACAAGACCAGCGTAGGTCAAGCAGGATACGTCACCAACCTGAGCGATATGGATATCTCATAAGTGATCAGGGTGATGTATTACTCATGGATCAAGATGAGCCTGTGACCTACAAAGAGGCCATAACTGGTCCTGAGTCTGAGAAGTGGCTAGAAGCCATGAAATCTGAAATGGATTCCATGTACACAAACCAGGTTTGGACCTTGGTAGAACCTCCTATAGGAGTTAACCCTATAGGATGCAAGTGGGTCTTCAAGAAGAAGACTGACATGGATGGTAAGGTACATACCTATAAAGCAAGACTGGTTGCAAAAGGCTATAAACAAATTCATGGGGTTGACTATGATGAAACCTTTTCACCAGTTGCAATGCTTAAATCTGTTCGGATTTTACTTGCCATCGCTGCATATCATGATTATGAAATATGGCAGATGGATGTCAAAACTGCTTTCCTTAATGGGAATCTTCTTGAGGATGTGTACATGACACAACCTGAAGGATTTGACATACCACAAGATGCCCAAAAGATATGCAAGTTACAGCGATCAATCTATGGATTGAAGCAAGCTTCCAGAAGCTGGAATCTTCGTTTTGATGAAACAGTAAAACAATATGGATTCATCAATAATGAAGATGAACCTTGTGTCTACAAGAAGGTTAGTGGGAGCATGATCGTGTTTCTGGTATTATATGTAGATGACATATTACTCATTGGAAACGATGTCCCTACCTTGCAACAAGTGAAGACTTGGTTAGGGAATTGTTTTTCTATGAAAGACCTAGGCGAAGCAGCCTATATATTAGGAATTAGGATCTATAGAGATAGATCACAAAAACTGCTTGGCCTAAGTCAGAGTACATACATAGATAAAGTGTTGAGACGCTTTAATATGCATGATTCCAAGAAAGGATTCATACCTATGCAACATGGTCTGTGTTTATCAAAAACACAATCCCCTTCAACTAAGGAAGAAAGGGATCGCATGAATAAGATTCCATATGCATCTGCAATAGGATCTATCATGTATGCCATGTTATGTACTCGACCAGATGTCTCGTATGCATTAAGTGCAACGAGTAGGTACCAATCTGATCCCGGTGATGCTCACTGGGTAGCTGTCAAGAATATTCTTAAGTACTTGAGAAGGACTAAGGATTCATTCTTGATATATGGAGGTCAGGAAGAGCTTGATGTAATTGGTTACACTGATGCTAGCTTCCAGACAGATAAGGATGATTTTAGATCACAATCTGGTTATGTGTTCTGTCTCAATGGTGGCGCTGTGAGCTGGAAAAGTTCAAAGCAAGAAACAGTTGCTGATTCTACAACTGAGGCCGAGTATATTGCTGCCTCAAATGCAGCAAAGGAAGCTGTTTGGATCAAGAAGTTCATTAGTGAACTTGGCATAGTCCCTAGCATTGTGGATCCCATTGGTTTATATTGTGATAACAATGGTGCTATCGCACAAGCTAAGGAGCCTAGATCTCACCAACGATCCAAACACATACTTAGGCGTTATCACCTCATTCGAGAGATAATCGATCGGGGAGATGTGAAGATATGCAGAGTACCTACACTTGACAATATCGCTGACCCATTAACAAAGCCTCTTGCGCAACAGAAGCATGATGGTCATACTAGATCTATGGGTATTAAGGGTATGCCTAATTGGCTCTAGTGCTAGTGGGAGATTGTTGGTGTAAGCCCTAGAGGCCAATACTTTTTGGTACTTGTATCGGATTATTCGTTTAATAATAAAAGGCATTTCTTTATTATGTTTGTCTTTCAGAATAATAAAGTCCCTAGAATAGTTAGTTTGTTTAATGAAATGTTAAGTGTGACTTAATCATGAGATCCCATTAAACATAAAGACATTATTCTTAAAATATCCGTAGTCAAGCTTTATTGCAAAGTGGGATAACATTAAAAGCATTGAGACTATTATGAAGATAGACTGATGATCACATCTCATGGATCATGGATAAAGAGTTATCAAGTCTTGACATAGGTATAAATATTAGGAGTAATATTTATACCGGATTGACCCGCTATGAGAATACTACATAGTATGTTATGCAAAGTGTCATAAGTTATTCTCATGGTGATAATGGTGTATTACCACCCTTCGACCTGAAACCACTATGGACCCTAGATGTAGAGTCGGGTGCTTTATTGCTGATCAAACATTATCCGTAACTGGATGATCATAAAGACAGTTGATGGGCACTCCACGAAGCATGCTGAGGGACATGAGTGTCCTAGATGGAATTTGCCAATCCTGCATAACAGGAGAAATGTCTAAGGGCCCAATATTGAACTGGATAAGGATGACACAGTGTATGCCTTGTGTTCAATATAGACATAGGGGCAAAAGGGTAATCGTACAAACATATATTATCACGAAAAAGGTTTTGTCAGATCACATGACATTTTCGTGACTTGGGTAGCAGTGATGTGTTGCTAGATACCGCTTACTGTTTATTATGTTAAATATATATAATTTAATATAATTACCAACGTTACGAAATCCTACAGGGTCACACACATAAGGACAGTTTGATGAGAGATAGAGAAATCAAAGGAACACCGTAAGGTACGGTGCACTTAAGTGAAAAATAGAAATTCGGATAATATAATAATAATTATTGTTATTTTATAATGGTTATAAAATAATAATAAAATAAATATATTTATTATAATAATAGTTATTATAATAATATATAATATTATTATGGATCATGTGAATTGGGTTTTTAGCCCGCAGCCCACAAGAGAGTCTATAAAAGGAACCCTTGTGATGAAGCTTTCACTTGATGCAATTTCGTTTTTGATTCTCTTTTCTCACTCAAATAATTCCGTTCGTAAGCAGCTAGCACTGTGACCGGAAGCTGTTCGTGTGGACTGAGTAGAGGCGTTGCACTTCATCAACGCTTGTGATCGCTGCATCAAAGATCTGAATCGCCACAAAGAGGTAACGATTCTATCACTGACCATGCTCATTCGTAAGGATCACTAAAGGAAATTTTTGTTTTCCGCTGCGTTTAGATCGCAATTTTCCTTCAGATAGCACCTAATTAGCCATGCATGAGAACCATAAATGACATGCATGGTATGCATGATAACATAAACTTAACCAGCATAACTTTCTATAAATACTAGGGCATTATTTGAGAAACCAAAATTTTAAAATTTAATTATTTAAAAAAAATTTGACCAAAAACTAATTTTCAAAACATTTGTCTTTAGATATATTGAAATTTTAAAATAATTTGGGAAGTGGCAAAGTAGTTAAAGCTAATGAATGTACCCATAAAAAACGTGTTATTATATGTCAATACCAAGACTCTCTTAATATGAAAATCACAATGCAAAATTCAACTTTAAATATAAAACATATGGTTAAATAAAAAAAGCAAATATAAATTAATGATAAAGTCGTAAACCTTACATCAAGACACCACATTGAAAATAAAACATGACTCTAAAAATATTATTATTAAGTACTAGGTAACACAAAGGATAAGGATTGAGAAACTTGTTAAACAATGTTTGTGTTGATGTCACATTCTAAAGTAAAGTAAAGTAAAGAAAATGAGATAAGAGGGACCATTTTTTTTCAATACATCATTGTTCTTACATTACACTCAATTAAATTAGGTAATTAAGGTTTTGTTTTTCTTCTCAATAGAAGACATCACACAAGGACAAAGACCTTTGCGTGAAGTACAAAATAATAAAATTTATTTTTTAATTTTCTCATATTAAAACAAAAACAACCGATGGAGATTCTTACAAGTGATAGTGTGCAAGAAATTTTTATGAAGTAAACAAACTAATAAAATTATATACACTACATATAAAATATTTAATATAAAACATGAATATAGGTTTTTTTTTAAGAGAGTATAGTTAAATGTAACTCGATTCTAAAAAATCAATTTATAGGATGATAATTATTTCACTTATAAAGACATGTTTTTGACGTGAAATTTTAAACACATTCTCACGTTTAGGATTGAACATCTGAAACGTGAAAATAAATCGTAGACAATCCAATAGCGAAAATTTGATAATAGATAGTCCATTAGACCTTAGACGAGACTCTTATAACACGTTAAAAAAAAAGTATTTCACCTAACTAAACCTACAAAACTGTCTTGTAGGATGATAATTATTCTTATTTATAAAAAATATTGTTCAATTCAAAACTTTTAATTGACTTAACCGATGGTAACGTCAAACCTAACAATATTGAATTTGGTCGTTTATAACAAATTCTTTTTATAAATGACAATTGAATTAAAAGTATTTAATATTTTCATGGATTCAAATTCAATGTATTATGCTCCACAGTCCATTGTCTCTCCTAACAACATAGAAAGAGAGAGAAAGGGTCTCACCTCAATGCAATTCAGATTCTGAAAGCCAAAGCTTCCAACAGTAAGTTCTTAAAAGTTGATAACTTTATACTCTTAAATCACCAAATCCATTGTTTTGATTCAAATTCAACCATTATTTTGTAAAGGGTGTTTCTCTATTTACTTATTTTCCTTTTCATTTTTGAGTTTTCTCTTTTTTTTTAATATAAAATAATATTATGGTTTTCTGTATTTGTGATTTGGAATTTGTTGTTTTCTTTGTTTGGTTCCAAGGTTGGAAAACCAGTGAAAGAATGCCAGGGAAACCTGAAACTGATGAATGTGGAGTAAAGCATAGTGAGCATGTTCAGTTTTCATCTTCCATTTATTCTCATCAACCTTGGTGGCTTGAAAATGCCTCCAAATCATCTTTACTTGATCAGCTCAATGGTTCAATCATGAATGGTGTCACAAATTCAGAAGCCTTGGTTTCTCCTTCAGGTGTCTCTTTAGACTCTTTCTTGTATGCAAATGCACTTTCTTCTTTTAATTCTAATTATTTGAATTACCTAGGATGCTTGTGTCAGGATTCGGCTTTAGGATCGACTAATCCTATGAGACAATCCCACCGCTCACTAGCAGGGGACCAATTAAAGACAGAGTAAAACTTTGCATGAAACTCTGTTTGACTTGTGTCAGTTGTATAGCCAATTGCACATTATCATTGAGATTAACGATTTGGATAGAAATATAGTCTTGGATAGAATATTATGGCAAAAGTTGATTCATGTATTAAGAAAAGCTTATAGACAATACAAGTAACTTTTTCAATGAGCGCTTATATGATAAATGCTTATGTTAAAAGCGCTTACTTGAGTTTTTAGTTGTACATGTATATGATGGTATTCACGAAAAAGTTGATTTATGTCTCAGGCGAGGACATTGCGAAGGAGCTTCGAAACATCAAACATGTCCAGTCCTCAAATCCATTTACCATGGACAAACACCTTGATCCAAATTCGCAGACAGAACTTGTTCATCATTCAACTGTAAGTCCTTTATCGTTACATTTTCCGACAATATGTAGACATGATGGTTAACTTTTGTCATATCTTGTTGCAGGTTTTGACATCTCCTTATTCAAATCTACAATTTGGTCAATTCTTGACTACTTATGGACAACCAGCAATGGTATGCTATCAGCATATTGCGACTGCGTATGAAAATCAATCTCACTCGAACGGTCTCTTTTTGAATATCTAGACAAGAACTTATCCTCCAATACTGATACGTATCTGATACCAATACGTGTCTGATACTTTCTGATATGTACCTGAAAAATCATCTTTTAAATATTTTTACAGTTCAGTGATAGTATCGGTTTTTTAATATTCTTAATGCTTAATACCGCGTTGTTACTAATTTACGCCGAGTCCTAACAGCTATTGGCATGATTCGCATGATTCTAGATGAACCCTCAGCTATACAACATGCATCATGCTAGAGTGCTTTTGCCACTTGAAATGGAAGAAGAACCTGTTTATGTCAATGCAAAGCAGTATCATGGTATTTTGAGGCGAAGACAGTCGCGCGCCAAGGCCGAGCTTGAAAAAAAAGTTATTAAAGTCAGAAAGGTATGGCTCATATGATAAATGCTTGTAGCATTATAGTTGATCATTCATAGTCACATATGTATCTATCATTCTTTCCTTACAGCCGTATCTTCATGAATCCCGTCACCTACATGCTTTGAGAAGGGCAAGGGGGAACGGCGGTCGCTTTCTCAATACAAAGAAGCTCGAACATAACGATTCTAATGCTAATTCCGCTCTAGAAAAAGGAAACAATCCTGATGCAACATTGGTTACCAACAAAGAGAATCAAGGCTTGGAAAATGCGTCACAGTCTGTGCACAAAATGCAAGGTTTTGACACCGGTTACCGTGATGGAAATGGCTTTACAGAACTATGTCATTCACAGGCAAATGGTAAACAGAAGAGGGACTCAAGTGGTGCTATTAAATGACCCTCCCTCAAATATACAGCAATAGGTAGATATTATAAATTTCATACTAGATGGGGAGGTACATGATAGTAAGGATCAGTAGAATTTATCTGAATTCTTACATGTGTATTGTCTCATGTATTGCAGGTGAAGATGAAGGGTTTTGCTTCATCCAACTTATGATGCTGTAATTCAATGGCAATTCATTCTTGGCTGAGTTACTTAGATTATAGTGGTGAGACCAGTGACATGACATGGTACACTTCATGCCCTGGTTGGTCCCCCTTGCTTGTGTTTCTCTTTACAACTCCATTTGTAAAATGGGTGAAAGAATAAAAAAATCACTTTGGTTTGTGAATTTTACAAGAATCACTTGTGTGTGACATATACTCCACAAAATCTTAAAGCTTTTTAATCTTATCTATCCTCCCACAATATTATCTTTGAGTGTATTCGGAAGTTATATTTCATACAAACTCCTTTAACTTCTATTCATGGAGACCAAAAGAACAAAAAATAATGGGTGTGTCCGGAAGTTTATCTTCCAAATGCTCGGAAGCCCGACATAGACATTTTAAAACTTTCATAGGATATAAATAACAATGTAATGGATGCGCCCGAAAGATAACTTTCAGACATAAACATTTTAAAACTTTCATAGGATATAAATAAACATTTTAAAACATTTATAGAATTTGTGAGAAATATATATGATGTAATGAGCAACCCTTCGTATATGTGCTTCTATTATATTTATCAGATGGTTTCATAATTCTCTCAAATAAATATAAAAAGTAGAATAACATATAACCCTTTAATCTTAACTTTAGAATGTGACTTTAAAAATAAGAAAATTATAAAAGTGTGATGAATAAAACTATAAGTGTATCAAATATAAACAAGATATATAAATATAAGCGATGTGCAACGAGGTTGTCTGCATGTTTAGAATTTAGCCTGTTCTTGCAGTTGTTCCTGTGAATGGAGCCATAAAAAATCAACATGCATTTAGTAGAGAGGAAGAAAATGCAATGTATGAAGAAAATGCAATGTATGAAGTAACACAAACCTCTGTCACAAAGAAAGCATGGAAACCATATGGAACTCTTTGAGGCAATTCTACAACTGCAACAGGTTCCGTTGACATTGTTTTTGCATCTATGACGTGCACGAATGATTTCCTACGGTATTCGAGTTAAACATAAGATTAAGAAAAACAAAAACTAAGCCATATAAGTCACTGCTATGCGTGTAGAGGAAATTGATACCCGGTATTCTCATCGTGTACAAAAAAGATCAAGTATCCATCATCTTCTTCAGAATCGGTGCCAGGGACGCGCGGGACATAAACAGCCTCAGAGCCAAACCTTCCTGGTCCCAAGTCATAGAGACCTTGAACATTTCCTCCAACTTCAAGCTTTGTTTTTCCAGAATCTGGCTCAGCGTGCAAATCAAACTTAATAATCCCGGTTACTTTAGCAATGCTGTCTAACGTGGTTCCATACACGTATCGTTGCTTCCTGATTAAATGAAAATGGTAAATACAGGTTGTAGCAGACATGCATATACTGGATTTCTGTCAACGTTTGACGCAGTCAACATTTAAGGTCAAGTATAGATCAAAGTATAATCAATCCTAACTCGGCTCAAGCTCAACTTTAATGATTAAGTAGACTAATTTACATGTTCGGTATTTGGCCTACCCTAATTATCAACATGGATAGAATAAGCTAACCTGCCAGTGTAGCTTTCATTCACTCTAGGAAAATCCACAGCAGATGCGGATAGTTTCTTTTGGGAAGCTTCACCAGTTTTCATGTTAAATCTCATCTCATACCTGGAAAGAGTTCAATGAATGTAAATATAGAATAACATCCAGTGAAATTTTCTTCATAAATTGCATATAAGAACAAGTCATTTTACAGCTCATTTGAGAAATTAGTAAGCTTTTCCTTGACACCCCCGCCAACCATGTCCAAATTTGGATTCTCCACGCGGCACGTGATCAAAACAATTTCATCCTCCTCCTCCCAAGCATTGGCTAGTGGAAAAAATGAGTCAAATAAAAGATTAAAATGGACAAATTCGTCAAAATTAAATAATTTAAAGCACAAATTGAAATTTGTGGTTTTTTCCCTAACATAAAAGTGTAATACACTGCTCTTATTCTATCTAGCAGTGGTTTGCATGTTACCAAAAGGTGCGTTCAACTTGACATTACTATGAATTGAAAATCAAAAGCTTCTAAATTTTACAAATCAACATTAGAGAATATCAATCAACATATTATATTAATGAGAAACAAAAGCAAGCAAACATACCATTGTGGAAAATGAAGCAATTTGGTAGTTCAAACCATCTAATATGCTTATCATCCTTAGCATACCGAGGTAAGACACCAAAACGAGCTTTCTTGGTTGAATCAAATGAGAATATCAAGGTCTTATTCTTCACCATTTCCTGAAAAATACATTTCAAGATTCATTTAATTTCCATCAAGTGATATAACTAACATATGAGCAAAAACACTAGCAATACCTTTGGCCTAAAGTACAGAGGAAGGTCCATAAATATTGAATAATTCTCTGTGATTGCAAAGTCATGCATCATGACGGGGTCTGATATTGTTATTGGAACAGGATCATGCATAAAACCATCCTTTGATACTACCCTGTATGTGACATATGGTGCTGTATGGGAATATCCAAATGTAAACATCTCCCCTGCATATAGGAAAATTATTTGTTGGAAATTGGAATTACTTTTCCATTAAATCTTTCAACTTAATCACTTATTTGAAGATTGCTTCACCAGTAAATGGGTCAACTTTTGGATGAGCGGTGAAGTTATGGCCCAATCTCTTGTCATAATCTAGCAAGCCAAGTGTCTGCAAATCACCGTCTTCAAAAACTTTAATAGCATCTGCAAAATTTAAAATGAGACTACTTCAGTACCGTAGTAGAAGAAATAAATACAATTATAGCTAGTCAAATACTGTGATACAATTATGAATTAACTATATTTTAAAAACCGAACCAGAGATCAAACTAGTGAAACCTCCGAGTCAGGTTCAGTTGACTCAACCATATTTGAACCATGTGACAAATACAATAGGTAAAAAAATGAAAACTGGTTGCTACCAACTGTGATTAAACTGCGATCAATCTAGTTTAATCAAATTGCAATGTGACCAATACTAAACCAACCAGTGAACTCTGCCTGTTTCCGGTTGAACTGACTGATTAGGTTCAGTGTTCAAAACATTGCACTTAAGTCACTAATTAGACCGAAAGTTCCTTTCTCCAGGAGAGATGGAAAAAAAAAACTTGCTGCTTAAGGTCATAATCGCTGAACATGATGAATCTTTTAAACTCATGTTCTATTCAGTTGATGGCATTTCAGATATAATCAACATGTTCACATCTTTCATATAAGTAAAACAGAAAGGAAAAGTACTCACAAGGTTTGTCTCCTTCTGAGAGTGCTAAAAGCTTCTGATGGTGATATACAAGAGCTGTATTAGCTGGTAAGCATGAGAGTATGAGCACAAGTTAGATTCGTATCTTCAAACCATATACAAGAGCTAAGTATTCCAATTTCCAAGTTAAAAACAGAGGTTTTGCCAAAACGTGTATCAGCAACAGCAATTTCCCAGGACCTTGAATTTGACCCAAAAATATCGTAACACAAGTTACCTGTTCCGTGTCCATAAGAAACATCCAATATTTTCAATTTAGCTCTTAACATTTGCATGTTAACCATTAACAGTCCAAATAGACCTTTCATATCTCCAATCTGAAAATGGCAAACAAGAAAAAACATTTATCGTGTGCAAGTGTAAAACAAGCATTCTATCATGCTTCTATACTTTTACTTTTTTTATATACCTTCATAAATTTAGAGCCTTTGAAGTATTCTTCTTGTTTAAAACGAGAAGTTTTCACGAAGCGGGAAACATATGAAGCTTTTCCATCTTTGATACGCAAACCATGGATCATTCTGCAATTAGTTGATAATACATAGATTAATATTCAAGAACTAGATACCAAAATTATCAACTCGTTATAGTTATTGAAACGCAATATCACACACCCATCTCCGTCAAACCTGCAAAAACATAGAGAGAAAGCATCGTATAAGCATAAAACTTCACATTATGAATACATTTTAAGTTTAAATAAACTAAAAAGCAAAGATGGGAAAAGAAAAATCAATATTCTGATAAGATTGGTGCAAGATCTTATAAGCATAAAATCAATGTTCAAAGCATACAAGAAAAGGGTACAAGCTTTACCAGTGATATCCGGCCACGGGAGAAAACTTTGGATTGGGCCCCACCCTAACAAACTCTCCATTCAAGCAATCCTGTAACACAAATCAAATGGTAAGTGATGAGCAGCAAGACCTGATATTGTTCTAAAGGGACTAGTCTACCACAACATGGTGAATCACAGTATAAATTCACCCTGCGAGAGACAATACTCAAATTTAGCTCCGGACAACTCCTCAAATAGAATTGCCTCTTTGGATATCATAAAATGAAAGGTGTGGAATAAAGCAGGATTCTTCATTCCGCCCAAATCGGAGGGAATGAAATATGGTTGTAAGTGATGGAATGGAACGTAATCCATAATAATCCATAATACTCAATAATACTAAATCAGCTACATCCGATTTTAAATGATCCAAAAAAATGGAATATCATTCAATTCCATCTAATACCGCTCCATCCGATTCCATCAATTCAAACAAAGGATGAGTTCACACATTTGAAGTAACTTTATAATATTTCAAAAATGGAGTGAAAACACCAACTCAAAAAATCAAATTTAGTAATCAACTTCAAATTAAGAAAAGAAAACACAAAGAACGAATTGAACTAACCGGAAGAAAGCCTTGCACAGTAAGATCCTTAACCGGAGGCGTCTCGTCTTTAACCGGTGCAAAATTACCGGCAAGCCAGTGATGAGGAAGTGAAGAATCATAAAACAGCTTAACGATAACCTTCTCCAACAAATCAACGGCTTTTGAAGTGAATCCATTGCTAGGTTTTGGTTCCACCTTCAGAATCTCTCCATTTTCCTTGCTCTCAGAACCCATTTTGGAGATTTACGTAAATGATGGGTTTGTGACAGTGGAGTGTAAGATAATAAGTGATGAATTTTTGTATGGTTTAAGTTCGATTTTGGCT